TTCAAAGGCTGTGACCTCCTTCCAAGCAGAAAGAAACCCTCTCACCTAAGAGGCTGCAGAGCCCGGGCTGGGGACACCTCTTCTCTATTGAGCAAAGGCCCCCCAGCACTGTAAGCCTGTTCTGGGTGCAGTGATGACCTGAGTGGGTGCCTGCTCGCTGGCCTCCCTCTTTGGAGGTGCAGCGGGTTCAGCTCTAGCCCTGCTCACACCAGGCCCATGGCACTGTGCGGGCCTTGTTTATTGTCCCTCTTGGACTTCCAGTGTCTCTCGATTTACAAGTAAGAAGATCCCCTCCCTGCCTGCCAGCTCTGCCCTCGCAGCTGGGACATGATAGGCGGCCGAGCTCCCCTCTGCTTCCATTCGCACCGGCAGCACAAGCTCAGCATCATTTCCACCTTGGAGACGCTCAGCCCCAGGCTCTCCCTTTGGTAACAGGGAACCAGGCAGATTTGTACCTGCAATTGCTTTCTAAAGCCGTGGATCACTAAAATCAGCAAAATAAAAGCTGCCTTTCCCCCCCCCCCCCAAGCCATGCTGGCCCAAAAGCTCTGTACAGATGATAGTAAATACAGAATACACATGGGGAGTATCCTGTGAGCAAGGAAGCGCCACTTCTGTCCAGTTACTTTTCACAACAGAAGCACTTTATCATTTGATCCTTTCCAGCTCACGAATGGCCAAGAAAAACTCACATCCTTAACTCCTGGCATCTCCTTTACAGATAACCACCCTTCTCCCTTGGACACTGCATCTGGCCCAGTGCAAAGGCTGTTGGAGACGTGTAGGTCCTGATGGAGCTGGTGGAGGCACCGAGACCGGGGGTTCTTGGAAGAACAGGGGCTGCAGTAGATGCCTTTGTCTTGCAGATAACCGCGCTCCTTCTGACCAGCATCCACACATCAGAAGCAATGTGTGGAGTACCCAGCTTCAGCCGCTGTTACAGCTTGACAGGCATTGATGTGCATGGGCACAAACCCCCTCCATGCTGCCCTGAAAGCAGCCGCCTGCAACGCCTGCTCCCTCAAAGGAGGGGTCACAGGGAGAAACCAGGCAGTGATACAAGATCTCAGCCACGCAGGGGACTGCCAGCCCCTGAGCCACTGATTTCAGAGGGAAACGCAGAAGGAAACCCTGCAGGTCCCTATGTGGGGTAGCACCGTCTGCTGAAGGCAGCTGCTGTGCCCGTGTCCCCAAGCACGGGCTGCAGAACGCTGCGCACACGATGCTCCAACCCTGCTCTGCGCTGCTTGTTCCCTTCACCCACGGGGTCCTCCTTCCAGCAGGATACAGGGCAATATGCCTGAGCTCCATAGGGCAGCCTCGTGGCTGGAAGACATGGCATTGCTCAAGGGCAGGTTGGACAGGGCTTGGAGCAAGCTGCTCCAGTGGAAGGTGTCCGGGCCGTTGTAGGGACTTGAAACTAGATTGTCCCATCCTGGGAACGCTCAAGGCCAGGCTGGATGTGGTTCTGAGCAACCTCATCCAGTTGAAGTTGACCTTTGAAGGTCCTTTCCTTCCACCACAAACTATTCTATGGGTTCCCTAATCTTTTAGGTCCCTTCCAGCCCAAACCAGTCTGTGATTCTGATTCTCTGGTTTAGCCGTGAGTGACTAAAGAAGGAAGCGCCGAAGTTATTTGTGCCTCTTAGCTTAAATAAAAGGGTTGATGCAATTAAACCTATTAAACCCTATTAGCAATAAATTCAGACAGAAGCCGCTTCCTTGGACTTAGAGCCAACAGAGCAAGAGGAATTTCCCCAAGCAGGATAGGGCGGGGGGGGGGGGGAATATTCAAGTGGGGAGGAGCAATTCCAAATTGGCGCTGGCCTGGAAATGTCCAAGTGCGGGAGCAGGGATGGGGATGGGACAGGACAGGAGGGATGCGGCTCTGCCTGCGCTGCCCGCAATCCGCGCTGGACCAGGGGGCGAGAAGCACCCCGGGATGGGGGCAATGGCCGGGATGGGGGCAATGGCCGGGATGGGGGCAGGTTTCACGCTTTCTCTTCCCCCCCTTGCCCAGAGCCCGGCCGCTCGAAGGAACCCGAAGGGGCTGTGAGGAGGGAGCAGGAACTCACCCGCTTCGCTCTTCCCGCTGCCACCAAGGTGCTCCTTCCCTGGAAACCTCCCCCGGAGCGGCGCCTCCCGGCTCCCTCCCCCGGTGACCAGAGACGAGGGTGGGAGGCACACGGGGATTTTGCATACGGAGCTTAAAGGCGCAGCAGGAGCCCTGAGGAGCTCGCCTGTTGCCTCGCTGGGTTTCGGGATGCCCCCGCTCCTGCTCCTCCCAAGCCTGCGGCGGGGTCTGCAGCTCCCGTTCACTTGGGCGGCGAAACCGCCGCCGGTGGTTCCCGTCAGCAGCACTGAACGTACCCGGCCCCAGGGTCAGCCCCAACGGGGTAAAACCGGTGAAGGGGGGCACGTCAAAACCCCCCCTCACTGCCTCAGGCACATCGACAGCACTCCCAGCCCACGCTCTGTTGATCACGTTGGGTTGGAAGGGACCTTAAAGCTCACCCGGCTCCCAACACCTTCCACTAGAGCAGCTTGCTCCAAGCCCCATCCAACCTGCCTTTAATCACTGGCAATCAAAATCAAGGGGCAGCTGCGGCCACCCTGGCCATTGCGGGTTTGCTCTACACACCATTACAGCATCCAGACACAACAAACACTGCGCTAAAGCAATGTCATCCCCGAAATTCCACAGAACAAGCGGGGAAACGTAGTGATGCACCAGAAGGTACATGCGTGGATCAGGCTGGTCCGGGAGCTCTCCATCATCTGCCCAGGTGAGACCATGAAATGATTTGAGACAATGACTTAACTTGAAAGCAGGAGCTGACTGAAGAGCTTCCCAAGAAAGCATGTGAGGAATTGGTGCAGGAATTTCAGTGTGCCCTGAAGGCAAGCTTCAGGCATCACCTCTGCGATTCCCGTGCTTAATGGAGCCATCGGGATGGACGGCATCCTCCTTCCACAGACTCCTCAAGGGGCTTCTTGCTGCAAGGCTGAGGAATTCGTACAGGGATGAGATGCTTGGAAGCAGTGGACACGAAGTGCTGCTGCACATGCAGAAGTGGTCACGCAGGACACATCTTCAGTGAGCACATCAGACTGGAGGTGCTTTCAGAGTCACTAAGGGATGCATCATGCACGCGTGGTACAACCATGGGCCAAGTTCCTCAGAAGGGCAGTGTCCTGGGTTCAGCAGTAGCAGTCATTTTTCTCCTCCTTGGTAGCTGGTGCAGTGCAGTCTGGATCAGTTCATGGCAAATGGGAGGGCTGCGTTTCCACCCCTGGGGCAGTTGGTTTAGGGTCTCACCCGACCCAGATGATGCCATGCTCCCGTTTGAGCAGTTCAATTCCCCATTGGAGCATTACTCTGTGCCAAACCCAATAATTTAGGCTTTATCTGTGTTTGGTTTTCAAACAACTGCTCTGCCCGTGTCTACACACTGGATACACACAGCTTGTTCATCGGGCTAATTCTGTCCTAGCATACCGGTCTATGTTTAAAGCTGGAATGCTAGCTGCTGTTTTAACCACGAGAGGATGAGGTTTGGAGTAACTTAGGATGAGCTTTGTGGCCAGGCTGTATCTTCCCATTTAGTACCCTTTATTTAACACAAAACCAGTTTTTCTGGTTTGGAACCCTCTTTGTGTGAATGGCAGGCGCTGTCTCTTGGTTCCGCAGCCGCAGCCCCCACAGAAAGGCTGTCCTGCTGGAGTCTTTCTTGGCTTGAAAGCCAGCTCACACAAGCAACTCCTCCATTTCTGTCTTCCCATCTCACTGCTGTACCTCAAAGCGAAAGGCAGGACGCAGCGAAACCCATGGGCACAAAGCCAGGGTGGAAACATACCTGGGTTCTGGCTGTATTGCTCTCGGATGCTGTGATGCAAAGAGATGTCGGGGTGTGGGTGTCTGTGGGTGGTTAATGTGGCTTTGTTTCTTTGAGGTTTTTGACTCAAAAAGGTGCTTCCCCTGAATACATCCAAGTTTTTAGCAATAGAATCCTTATGGAATTAAGGAAGATGGCTAAAGGCTTAGCATGTGAGAGATGTAACCAAGAACTGCACCAACTTTCCTTTGAGCAGTAGCATCATTACTGTCAGCCTTTGCACTCAAGTTTGTTGGGGGATGCACACCAGATGCTGTGAGGGCTGGAGCAGCTCTGCTCTGGAGCCAGGCTGAGAGAGCTGGGCTGGGGCAGCCTGGAGAAGAGAAGGCTCCTGAAGGGGAGACCTGAGAGCAGCTCCAGTGCCTGAAGGGGCTGCAGGAAACCTGGAGAGGGGCTTTGGCCAAGGGCCTGTAGGGACAGGCCAAGGGGAATGGCTTGAACCTGCCAGAGGGGAGACTGAGATGAGCTCTTAGGCAGAAGCTCTTCCCTGGGAGGGTGCTGAGGCGCTGGCACAGGGTGCCCAGAGAAGCTGTGGCTGCCCCATCCCTGGCAGTGCTCAAGGCCAGGTTGGACACAGGGGCTTGGAGCAAGCTGCTCCAGTGGAAGGGGTCCCTGCCCGTGGCAGGGGTTGGGACTGGGTGAGCTTTAATGTCCCTTCAGCCCAAACCAGGCTGGGATCCTATGGTACAATCATCAAATAAAATCAGTTACACTGAACGTCCCTTCGCAGTTTCCCACAGAACATTAAGTTTTACATCAAGTTGATCAGGGAGGCTTTTAAAAGACAAAATGCATGACCTTGGTTTTTGAGGGAAGTGATTGAACTGCCCAGGATCAGGGTCCGAACAGTCACAGCCACACTGGTGCCCAGGGTCATCCAATTTGTGCAGTACTGCAATAGTCACAGCATGTAACTCAATACTAGTTTAGACTTTAACTGGAGATACTGCATTGAGGAGCTCTTGGGGTTTTTCCTCATTGACTAAATAAAATCATACTTAGAAATACATGTGAAACTCCCAGAACCATGAGGCGAAGCACAATGCTCCAAGCACACCTACGTAGAATGCAATGGGAATAAAGCAGCTGTTAAATGCCTACAAGTTAAATGTCATCCATTCTTCTACTTTAATTCAGTTCTAAACACCTGGAAGTGTTTCCTAACCCAACCCACAACATATGAGAACAAATGTTAAAACACACGTTCAAGTCGATGATCAAACTTAATACTTCATCATTAGAAAGCTACTGGCTTTTAGGTATATAAAAAGCTATTCCAAGTTACACTATGACTGAAAGACAACCAAGAAAGAAACCCACATCTTTGAGTCAGTCTCCAAACTTGTTTTCTTGCTGTCAAGTTCATTATTTAAACACAAGATTGGTTTCTTAGTTTAATATACATACTTATACAATGGCTTAAAGTAAGGCATAATCCAGCTGGCTGAAGGTTTCAGGAAAATGTCTCTGTTGCTTTTATTAGTAATAACTGGTTCAGATTACTGCTGGCAAGAGTAACATAGTCCATTAAAGAGGAGATTGAGAAAGAGCTCTCTTTAGTACTACCATCTTCCATTGGGTGAGTCGAAGATCAGATGTAGTGCAGGCCTTTGGACTCAGGAAGCCTTTCAAGAAATTCACCATTGAATGAACTTAGCATCAGGGCTTGCAGGTTTAAGCAGAAGCTGCTCAAACTCTGAAGCCTTAAATGTGGTTTATACAGAAAGCATTTTGCATTCCAGAGAAAGGACAGTACCGACCCAAAGTGAAGCAGAAATAGAAGGTGCCATCCAAAAAGCCCAGGGTAAAGTTTTGGAAGACCTAGCCAAAAAGACAACGGCAGAAACTTAACAGCCAGACATCACAAGAGAATCCAACTCAACATGCCAAGGGAGACTTCCAATTTAAAAGCATCACCTCCGACCATGTCACTATCATAATACTTCTGTAAATGACATAGACTGAAGAGTCTATCTTCCATGCCATTCTAGGATCCTACAATACTTCAGATTTCTCTGTCAGTTTTAATAGGAAGTGTTTGAGGCTCTCTGGGATTGTAACTTGAGTGCAGAACAGATCAGGCACCTTTGATAAAACCAGATGGTCTTGCATGGAACAAATAACCTGCAAATCCCATCATCCCTCTGTATGTACTAAGACTTAATCATGTTATACAGGAAAATGCCCAATTTCAGATATATAAAATAAGACCAGATGCATCCCAAAAAGGTTTAAATTCACCAATTTAGTCCTTCCCAATGTCATGTAGCAAGAGGTGCAAAAGAACAGGTTAGCTCACAGCCTCATTCCAGAGCCTGACAGCTCATGCTTTGGCTACTCCTGGGACAAAGCATGACTGAGGCAGTTACTGAGGAGCAAGCAAGCTTTAAAATCACAGCTGACTGTAGCACTGTATGTGCTCCCTTGGGAATAAAATCACCAGCTGATTTTCTTCAGAACCAGAAATCACAATTCCATCCCTCAAATGAGTAACAAGCAGCAGCTCCAACCCTCAAACACTGGAACTTCTACTGCTTTAACATTTTCCCAACAAAAATGCTGCCTGTTAAGCTTAGTATAGCACTGCTACCTATTTTCTTACCTATTTGGCTTGGGTTTTACTCCTCTAACATTAAACATTCCTAATATGCTTTTGCTTCCAGTGTCCCTGGAAGTGTTCACAAACCACACAGACAAGGCCCTTAGTGACATGGTTTAGTGGTGGCCTTGGCAGTACTGGGGTAAAGGCTGGACCTGATGATCTTACAGGTTTTTTCCAACCTGGTTTATTCTATGATTCTGTGATTCTATTTTCAGAACAGCCCCTAGAGTTCACACAAGTGCTTCGAAAGCTTCCTGTAGCTCCATTCATCCTGCCTTTTAAACTAAACTAGTAACCAACCCAGGTACCTGGAGTAGAAGACAGACGAAAACGTTAAGAGATGCATTTAATGCACCATGGTAGTATAAATCCTTTCAGAGGCTGGTAATTAAACCATTCTCTGCATTTCCTGAATGAGTTTGTACTAAAGCATTCCCTTATATCAATGGTTGTGACAAGTAGGGAAAAAGCAAAGGTGACAATAGGGAAAGTGCTAAAAAAACCCCCAAACCCTATCATGTTTCTCTCAATTAAGCATTGTAACAGACTTGTTCAATGCTTTTCCTCCTTCTGAATCTACACTATGCTAAAGCAGCAAAATAGCCACACAAGCACAGAGTACTGTGTAAATAAACTTGTAAATACTACCTTGCTATAGAGAAAATGGAACGGTCAAAGGCATTCCCTAATAAAATGAGCATTGAAATCCATACATCAGAACCCTTGTAGAGCACCATATTTCAGAAAGATGTTTGAATTGTCTAGCTGTACCGAAGCTGGAGGCAGAACATTCCTTGTTGGATTTGATGATCAGACTCCCAGTGAGGTTCCTCAATGAACGCAAACACTACTAAACCAGTCCTAAATACATACTGGTTTTACATGGATATGCTTGAGAGGGAAAAGGAGTTCTTATCCCACTGTTTATTCCAGCTGCTTCTGCTCTGTATTTACGCCTTTGCTTTCACCGTTGTCCTTATCCTGACCAGCTGGTTCCTCCTCACTCTGTGCAATAGGGATTTCTGACTGGTCCCTCTTTGTGGTGGTATCAGCCAGCTCCTCTGCAGCTGAGGTGGGGCCTTGCAGCTCCTTCACATGGAGGGTAGGATTGATCATCTGCTCTGTGTCTTGTTGAGAGGCTGGTACATTGCTGTCTTTGGGTAGCTCAGGGCAGTTGACAGGAGCTATCACCAAGGGAGGCTGAGGTAGGTCTTTCTGTAAGTGGAAGATCACAGTCAGAAGGATGGAAAGCAAGAATTACCGTGCTCAGGCAGCAGGAGTGATGGCTGTACAAGATGAAGATTAAAGGTCCATCATCTCCGTTATCACTGTGGACACATGCAGTTATCCCATCTTTGTGTTTCATAGCACACAAGGGGATTTTTCTTCCAGAAATGTGTTTAATTGCTTTTTGCTTGATTATTCCCTGCTGATTACACAGGAAGAGGCAAAGAGCACTTTGGCACTTGGTCACGCTCTGGTTTTCCCCACACCTATACTCTCAATGCACAACCATAGAGGAAAGTTGTGAAGTTTATCATAAATAGTTGAATAACAAATAAATATGACTGTGGGGGGAACCTCTAGCTTGATAGATCTGCCCTTCAAGTAATTATTCAGAACCTAGAATTATGCATCCCAATGGAAATGACTCTTTTTGGAATCAAATTAATTTCACTTCTGCCCCCAGCGAAACAAGGGGATAATTTACTATATTGAACCAGATTTCTACCTTCATAAGCAGAAGACAAATATTTTAAGGATGTATTTAATAACAGAAATCATTATTTTAATATTTAATAATAGTAATTTCAATATAGATTAAACGAGTAAAACTCTGTCCCAATCCAGAAGGAGAGACGAGATCTACTTTACCTCTCACTAACTGGTTTAAGTGGCCATAAACATTAAATAAAACCTTCCTGAGGCAAATAAAAAGTAAGTTAAAAAAGCCAAGAATCAAGCACAACAATAATCTTTGGGTTGGTTTGATAATACTGCAATATTTTACTCAACTTTAATTCTAGTTAGGTTTTTATAACATTAGTATTTCTTGAAGACACTCATATCAAACTGGTATTCACCGCAAAGCCGCTGCCCGTCCAGAACATGGCAAGCTCCTTTCTCCAAAAAGCCACAGCAAAGCTTGTGAAGAGGGTACAGGGCACCAAGTAGAGGAGAGCAGGCTGGCCCATCTGCATCATTGCCAAGGCAACAAAGGTCATGAGGAGGCCTATGCCATATGCTGAAGGGAAATAAAACCAGCAAAACCCCGTTACTCAGATACAGCTTCGCTCAAGAACTAAATAATGAGCTAGAGGAGCATCCGAACAGGAACTTTGGTCAAGTAATATGCAAAGCAGTATCTCCAGTATTTTTTCAGTCACTTTTATACGTACCTATGGTGCAGGCTACAAAATACACTCTGGATGACTGGACCTGAATATCAAATCTATGGCAATAGGCTACCAGTAAGCCTGGGAAAGGAAAGAACAATTACAACATGCTTTCAACCCATTCATGGCTTTAAGATATACAAAGCCATCAAATTATCTAAGACTTTTTCCCCCCTTCCAAGCCTTACTTGGGCACCCCAGTGTTTAAGTGTTATGAGAGCATCATGCAGGAGGCTGCACAGCCTCCAGAACAGGTCTCCCACAAGCCCCGTGTAACAGCAGCACTCTAATAATCAAATTAAGAGCTACAGATACACAGATACTAAATACAAAACATCAGCCCATTCCTAATAAACAGCGGTAAAATAGTGTTAACAACAATAAGATTAAGTTCATCCCTTCCAGCTCCTAGTAAAGACAGGAATTTATGGTTGATGTCTATGCCTATTGTAGGTCAGAGGGCACACAACCAGGGATGACACAGTTCACATTTCCCCAAAACACACACAAAATAATAAATAATTTCACAGAAAAAAAAGTGAAAGCCAGAAGGTGCAACTCATTCTCACCTGCAGTGATGCCAGGCATGCCTCTACATACTAGCTAAAGCCAAAGTTGAGAGGACATGTGGTAGAAACTCTGGATGCTGCGTGACTAACAGAACGATGACACTTTGGGTGGTCAGGTACATATATACCCAAATCATGGCCAAACAGACAAATCATTTCCTCTATCACCATACTACTAAATATGTTTTATACTATAAAATTAATTGCTAAACCAACTCTGGAGATTTCTCTACATTTCTTGGCATCACTGCATGTGGAATTGAACCATAAGATTGATGTGCATTGAATTTGTTATGGGAAAAGGTGACTAGTGCAGTAGTCAACTCAAACTGCCCGTCTGAAGTAGAAATACAAGAGGTATAAACTATTATTACAGTGCAACAAGTAAAATTGTTCACATGCTCAGCGAGAAATACCTGGAACTAAAATGTCTCCAAATCCTAGAAGAGAAAAAGGCCTGTCACACAGAGCCAAGGGTGAGAAGTTCAGGCGTGGAACCTTCAGGACCATGGGGAGCTTGGAAGGAGAGACAGATGCCTTATGAAAAGCTGTTTCCTCTACATACTGACACCACCTACCAGCATTTGCTCCTGTTGTAGTGAAACTGCAGACTTCAAAATAGAGCAAATGTCTCTTGTTTTTACACTATAGATTCTTGGAATTTTATTTTCCCGTTTAAAATAGTTTCTTAATGCTACTGCCAACAATTAACAAAACGGATTTAAGGTACAAATAACGAAATACTTTCTAAAAAGAACCCAAGGAGACCGAAGCTGCTGTGATGAACCACTAAAAGCCCGATTTGCCCCCTGTGTTTATTACAGATTTCCAGGGAGCTCAGGAGTGCTTATTTCCACATTAAATCCTTTTCAGATTGGCACCTCCCTTTCAGCTTTGTGGCCTTCGAATTCTGGAGAAGTTGCAAGTGTAATAGCTGGAAATTAGTGCCATGCTTTCAGTCTACATGTAGTACCTTTTCATGAGTGGAAGAATCAGTCGGACCTGCAGCCACCTCCACCATTATACTCTCCCCAGACTAAAGGGAAAAAAAAAGGGAAATTGGAAAGCAGCACTTCACTCAGCAGGTTTGGGATCATTTAGGAACACTCTGCGAGCAGCAGGCATTAGAGAAATACTTTACTTACCTTTGTTAGAAAAGGTGTGATAAATACAAAGAATACATCATACACAAAAAGAACCAGGAGGAGCAAGGTACAAGCCTGAAGGAGGAGACAAGATATGTGGTATTGACAATCAGATGCAATAGTAAACAGCAAAGAAATAATCAGCAACTTCAGACTATTCAAGGCAAAAAGCTAACAAAACCAAGTGAGCAAGTTATTTCTCTTCAGTCCTAAATGTTTCAGATGGAAGAATTGGGTCTTGCATGCACCAAAGAAAAGAAGGTCATAGCTTGGAACAGTATCCACATTCCTTTAGCCCATTTGTACACGGAAACAAACCTATAGCTGAAGATGACTTGAAACAGAGTTTGAAGAGCTGCCTAAGGGGCAACTAAATGACTAATTCTGATTTTTGTCTTAGGATACTGAATAAGTTCTGGAAGATCTGAAAAAAGCACCAGAATGATGCTTTTTGGGTGTCAAATGTGAGAACAAAAAACCCCCAACACCCAACAAAAACCAACCCCAAACAACAAGCCTCCCCCAAACCCCACAAATGAGTGTGTGGTGTGTGATTTACTGGTGCTCAACACTACAGGACTCCGTGCATAACAATCACATAGCACTTACTGGTCTACATTTTAGTCATTACTTTACTGTTTTCCAAACCACATGTGAATGGAAGTGCATTTCCAAGCCAATGTACTCCATTATAAGCAACTCCTCTGTTGAATTATATACAGGCAAACAACATCTTTCTACATTTAACTTTTATACCTTAAATGTAGGCAGGCGAATTGTTTTCAACATATAAAGACAGAAAGCAATTCCTAAAGCATCTTGCAGAACCCAGGCCCACCTAAAGAGAGAGAAGAGTAATATTTTTGCAGGAAGCAGCAGGAAAACCAGACCAAACCTTGTCCTCACTAGGGACCCACTTGGACAAAAGACTATTAACATCCTTGCTGTCAGCATGGATTCACAAACAGGAAGTTATGCCTCATCAACCTGAATACCTCCTACAATTAAATGAATGGTAGGTGAGGGGAGAGCAGTGAGGATATTGTCTATCTAGACTTTAGTAAGGCTTTCCAATGAGAATTTCTGCCCAGGTCTCCAGTTTCTTTCTTATCACTCTACAGCCTGGCCATGTCTAGGCTTATGTGGATGTCAGTTACTTATACTATAAAGCATACTATGATTTCTAGCCCAGATACTAAAGCATACACTTACTGATCTTCGTTTCTGAAGACTCCCCAGACTACACTGACAGAGATACAGAACACTGCCAGCAGCAACATCCGGACCTGTGGCCGCTTGTGGAAATAAGGCAAGTTGTTGTTTGGGATTCTGAAAATGAAACACATACCAAAGCTGCAGTTGTCTGTGCAGTTCCCCTCCTCCTTCAGAAACATGGTGAAGCCTGAAACCACCCTGTAAATCCCACAGCTCCCCAACATTTATATTATATAAAATTAACTCTGCCCATTAAAAATGCAGAAGTTGCCACATACCTACACTTTCCCAAGGGGAATCTTCTTACAAAGGGTGACAGACAACTGTAAAGACCAATTGATGCAGCCAGGCAGAATATCCCTATGATAACGTAGACTGGGAAAGAAAGAGTAGTAAGGTCAAGCAGGATAAGGTAAGAGATGCTTTTTTGCCATACATTGACTGAATAAAGAACAGACAAATCAAAGAGCCTGAATGAGAAACAGGGCTTACAGCTCACTAGGAAAAGTTAAATTCAGAGCCTTGAAACAATTGTTAATTAATCTATGCTTTTTAAGGATTTAATTCTAGCTCATTTTACTCAGGTGTACTTTATGCAACAGCCCAACAAATCAAGTGTTTCTCTTCTCATTATGAGTATACATGAGCATCACATGGCAACTCTTAAAATCACTCAGTAGCAAAATGAATTAATACAGATGAGATGCATCTTTTACAACTTCCTTAGCAATATGATGGAAGTTCCAGTGCATTAAGCTCTCAAGCGCTTTTGTCAATCAATTTAATAAGTGATCAGTAGAAACTTATCTTTATAACAATAAAAAAAAATCGATCCTGGATCCCATTACTTAACCTCAAATTGAACAATAACATAAAGACCAGTATAGGTTTGAGAATACCTGTGATAAAATATCAAAGAAGTGATATTGAAGATGTATCAGTACAAATACAACTTTAAAAGTACCTAAGTGGTCATAGAAGAAATAAAGGAGGATCAGCATTGAGCAGCACATCACTACAAACACACAGATCATTATGGGAGTCACATCAACTGTTTCATCATCGTGTTTCTCTGTGCCATCATCGCGTTTGTGCTTCATGTACCGCCTGAAAGAGTAACACAACTATAATCAGTCCATTCCTTCCGCAACAAAATGGGAAAGGGCACTGAACCTTCAGAGAGAACAACATGGGGTCGGAAAACACACCACGGAACCAATGCCTGTGCACTGATTTCCACTCAAGTCAGTGAAACTCCACGTTTCACATGGACGTACGAACATCAGCTATAATGTGATGCACAAGCCAGTAAGCACTGCATTCGTTTACCAACAGCACTATTTTTCATTCACTAAGAACTCAACAGAAACCTGAAATACTGCAGAATAATTTGGTGACTTCAGAAGAAATCCTCCAGTCAGGTTGTGTATATAAAGCAAATGTTAGAAAGCAGGGTGGCACAGCTGACCTCCTCCCCTCACTGGCAAACAATAACCATGAGCTTTCAACCCAAGACTCATAACAAACATAGCATGCATCGCTGTTATCCTTTGGTCTCCAAACCCCATTGCAGAGCTACCAAGTGATCTTACATAAATACCACATGTTCTTTTTTTCTGGGAAAGACACAGGAAAACTGACTTACTCCAATCCAGGGACTCACTTTTTAACGTCTCTGCTTCCTGCCCAGTAGCCTCCAATTGCAACAGTCCCCACAGCCATGACAAATATAATCACCATGTTATAGTCCAGCACAGGCTCATTTGGTGCATACAATGCCCCTCTCACATGGGTGCCAAAATTCTGCAGAGGTAAGTGCAAGATATGAATCACTTCCAGAAAGTTACCTCAGCAAAGGTTCAGTTAGTTAGTTTTCACTAAGCAACCTCAGAATCAGGTTTTATTAGAACTACTTAAGAGTAATCTATTTGCTCTGCTATTAGTGATGTTCATTTCTAGCACCAGGCTCCAAAGTGAGAAACAGCCTCCCAAGAGATGTGGGTTTTTTCAATACATATTTTCAACATAATAATACCATCTTCATTATTACAGCGCTCTACAGATTCAAAGCTCTTCAGATGGACCTCAAAAACTGTTGAGTGACTCATTTAAATGAGACAATACAAACCAGAGAATGTAGTATCAAGTTTACCTTGCGAATATCTAACATATCATCATAGCTGAGCAGAGCCACAGGAATATCAATCTCTTCATATTGACTCCTGTTGCCCCCGGGAGGAACCTGAAAGACAGTTCAGTCCAGGTAAGAATATATTCACTTCTTCTACTGCTTCCAGAAGGTTAAAGTTGCAAATTCTATTTCTACTAATTTGGGAAATACTCCCGAAAGGAACACCACGACAGCAAAAACTCAAAGTAAAAATGTATGCCTGCTTCCACTAAAACATAACTTGAGAAAGACTGTAACAGCAGCAAATAAACTTCAAGCAATATCATTTGCATATCAGACTTTATGACTGATGTGTGCACCTAGTATTGACTGGAACATTCAAACCCACTGATTTTACAAAACATGCAGTGGTGATGCTCCAGCTGAATCTAAAACACTGGATTCTCTGTGACCTAGATCTCATTCAAGGTAGTAGTATGAGTCAATAAACCAAACTCCTTCTTTGATTCCAGTATTTCACATGACAAGGATAATTCTGAGCCCTTGGCTTGACATAGGCTCTATGCAGCATTTCCTACTTGAATGAGTACCCTCCTCCTCATTCTCCCAGATGGATTATTTCCATGCATAGCTGTGCAATGTATGTACACGCACAAACACACACATACTATTTATTTTAAAGAGGAGCATCAAATACCAGCAGTGAGCACTGAAGACAAGACAATATCTAACATCAGAGGAGGATCAGCAATGTGGGAAAGACAGAAGGAAGCTTACCAGTCTCTCCTTACTAACAATCAGCAGCCCACGAGCTCCATTTATCTGAGCAAGCCTCACTTTCTCATAGAAGGTGCAATTCCCTCGCATCACCATGGGGATTTGATTATTAAATCCCCCGTGAGGTACATCAGAAGAAGAACACAAAACAGATGCTGTCTGATTCTGCAGTTCCAAGAGTGACTGAAAAGAAAGAAATTAATTAAATGCATACATATATACATATAAAACACTATAAAAGAAGTCAATAGCAGAAATCAAAGAGTTTCTAAGGGACAATTTCAAACTCTCAAGTAATGGAGTAATAGAGCACTCTGAGAAACCTGAAAGCTAAAACCAGTGCTGGCCTCTCTATTACTTAGGGTCCTGCCTTGCTTCAACTTATTGTACAGAATTCTGCTGGTAATAAATTTTGGGTTCATGCACTTGCATTCGTTTTCTTCAGCCCTGCTGCTGTTCTGATGCATGCATCCAGGATGTAGGAGGACTACAGCAAAGTGCTGTCATTGCTAGGGTGGCACAGAGTTGCAGGCTGAGAGGATGTAAAGGTATGGAACAGCTAGAAACACAAACACAGGCTGGGGTAAAGCACAAAAGCATGTCCAGGTTGGCGACATCAGTTTCTGAATCAGCTTGGAGCTACTGACAGCTTGACTCTTACATCAGCAGTCAGCTATACAGGCATCTCTTCGTACAAAACCTCCTTTCCAACCACAGGTAAGTGCCATTCGCATTTAATTGGTCACATTGTACAAAAGGAAGATTTTTGTTTTGAACCAGGAATAGCTATTACCTTGGCATGCTGTATAGAAAAGAATATTGCCATCATAGCACTGCCTAGGGTGATCTTAACAGAGAGAAATATCTTCTAAGCAGAGCAAACAAAGAAGTTATTTCAAATCCTAAGAATTCAAGTTAGAAATTTCCCTGTACCAAAGGCATTTCTGACCCAGTTCTTCTGCTTGGCCAGGTACTTACAGCTTTACCCAGATCCTGTGGCAAATGGGCCCACTGAGAGTTGAAGAGGATACAGTAGTCCTTTCCTTTGCTGCCGGGCATCTCCGAAAGGACATGTACCATCCCATACTCACAGTACACCTGAAAACACAGCAAAAGATTCCCAACAAGATCACATGAAGTAGAAGTGATGGGTGCAACTTGCTGCTGACTGCCCTGCTTTGTATCTGAAAGAAAAAAAAACCATTCTACAAAGTTTCAGTATCTGTGCAGGGAGTACAGTGGAATTTGTTCTTATTTCTATCACACTTCAAACAAGTACAGATATATTATGCAGATTCCCTGTACCCACTGACTTTGTTTAAGAATCAAATGAAACCTCACCGGATGGCTATAAGACAACAAAACACAAAAAACCCCAAACAATCCCAAACAACACAGCTACAATGGAGCATGTAAGTATATAACCAGAGCAATAGTAAGAAACCGGATTACTGCAGAACAGATAAGACACCTGCAGTCCTGCCCCTGTGCTTATCAGAACTGATGAAATCTTGCTCTGGAGAGAAACACAATGTAATATCCTTAACCGCTGCTGCTTTCAAATGAGACAAAGTTGTGACAGACTGATCTGACAACATCTAGTTGAACATTCATAAGCTAAACAGGCTAATGAGTTGATAATTATACAGTTACACTCTTACAGCTACGTCTTACACATTTGTTTCTCCAGGCAGCAGGTGAGAAACAAGATGCTGAAGATGACTGGAGGCAGCACCAAAGTTGTCTTGTTCAAAACCTCATTCAAAGAACCAGTCGCTCGCATTTCTCCCTCTTTATTTCAACCCCCACTACACAGAAGTTATGCTGCACCCTGAGGAGACACTTTTTGGACATTAGTGTTCGTTAAGCACTCTAAAACATATCCCATTGGTCCTGAAGCGTGCTCGGCATAGCAGGTGACAGAGTTTACTTCAGTGCAGATTAAAGCCACTCAATCAAAGTGCAAGTTCCCAAGATACGAGATCCTACTGTGCATATGTGATAAGGAGAAAACGTATTTAGCAAAACCCAACTACTCGCCAAGGCGGACTTTTTAACCCCTATCTCAGCTATTTATCCAGAGCACCTAAACCCCGCCCACCAAAAGGAACGCACAGCAAAAAAGAAGCCATCAACATCTTGAATTTTCCAAGAGCAACAACTTACAGAGATCAAAATACAGAGCCAGGCAAAAGACCCCAAGAAAGGCATTTCCTGCTTCTCCTCGTTACAGGATCTGACTGGGCTTAAACAAACAAACTCCGAGTAGCTCGGGTTTGAATATCACCTGTATCCAAAGTGCATCCAAACTCTTCTGGCAGCTCCGCAGGAGCAGCTCCCTGTGATCCAACACTTTTATGCATTTGAGAAACAATCAATCTACACAGCTAAAAGTGTTACATTTCTAAGGTACAAACTACAGGCCTTTAAACGAAGGGAATAAGTACAGGGTGTGTTGCTACATTTCCATTTCAATAACCATCACTGGGACCCAGTAATAATCCCAAATGGAACACTGGGGACAGTAATACCCAATTACGCTTTCTGAGCAACTTAATGGATGCTCTTTAAAGAAGTATTAAGGGAGTAAAAGGTTCTTAATGTGAAATGTTCAAACCATTTCAGAAGCTCTGTGTTTTTGTGTGCCAAAAGCCAAGTGAAGAACTCAAGGATGAGAGGAATTAAAGGGGATATGAGCAGGGCTAAAAGCTGAAGAGGGTGAACAGAGCTTTGGGAAGCCCACGGAGAATGGCGTCCATGGAGAACGTGGATTAACAGACATTGTTACAATGCGATTCTCACTTAGCATCTAAGCCTACTTCTGAAGTCTGTCAACAGCAGAGGTTCTTGTATCAGTCCCACAGAGCTTTGATGCTTCCTGTTTCATTTTTCTGTATGGCATCAGGTAGCAGAGAACAAAAGTAAGTTCAAAACAACACAGCTGATGCACTGGGACGTTGGCAACGCTTCTGATGGTTCTTAGCTCCTCGAGTTCAGTCCATACGCTACATTAACCCATAAGGAAATGTAATCTGCGCAGACCCTGTACCACGTTCCTACAACCCCAAAGGGCATTCAGAAAACAGCAGCTCTTGTGACAACACGGTGGTTTAGGATACTGGCTTCTTACAATACATAATAACGTAGGAAGCACTGCAACAAGCTTCAATGGGAATGGGCTTCCAAGCCTCAAATAACAGAATTAGCATCTCCCAGTTAATTAGGGAATTACCCACTTTTCCCGCATGAATAACGGCAGAGTGTTTGCAATTAAACATCTCACCAACCAGGCATCCATAGAAACAACAGTGCCGTGGTACCAGCGAGACCTCTGCAAAGCTGGAGCTCCGTAAGAATCCCAGCTTTATGGAGACTGCTCTACAACTAACACATAGCAAAGTGCTTTATATAAAGCTGCAGAAGGCTTTCACACAACACAAGTGCAAAGCACAACTCACCAGGGAGCCGAGCCAACCTAATGGTGGCATTAAGAGCACACTTGTTTGCTCTGACCCTCATCAGATCCTTCCATGGCTCATTTAATACATTAAAACATCAGAACGCTCCCGAGTTTTATTGCTGAGTGAAGCTTTGGGTGATATTGGTGAATTAACACGGCTCAGAGACAAGTTCCGGGGTTCGCAAGGTAAAAACATAGAAGGAGATGGAGAGGAGGAATCCAGCTCACCCGCAGTTCAAGAAGCTGCAGTATGAGCGACTGAGCCAACCTAGCGCCTCAGTCTTGTCCCTTCCTCCCTGCCTCTGTCCCGAACTCACCCGCATGCCCCATACGGTTTTCCTGCTTCCATTGGCTTTATCAACCGATTGAGGCACCTGAACCTCAGAGAGGTTTAACGGACACAAGGAGCTGCGTGCTTTGGACAAGAGACGATCGGACTGGTGCTGCTCATGGAACCGGCAGGGGACTGGAACTGGTCTCTTCCCACCCCAACCCCTCCGTGCCCCTGCGTTACATAAACCCGCTGCTAAACAGCGGGGCGCGCACGAACGCAGCCTGCGGCCTCACGTACAAGAGACGCCGTTTTCTCCCCAGCAGCACAAGCAGCCTCCGCTCGGCCATTTCCCCCCTCCTGCCGCCGGGCAGCCCCGGCCCCGCGCTCTCACTGCCCGCCCCAGACCGGCGCACACCGCCCGGCCTCCGGCACCACAAAGCCCGCCGGGGCCGCAGCACCAGAGCCGGGCCCGCACCCGGCTTTGTCCGCCGCGGTTCCTCCCCCTCGGCGCTCACCTGCGGCAGGAGCTGCAGGAGCAGCCAGACCTGCAGCCGGAGCCGGGGCCGGGGCCGGGGCCGCCGCGCCGCCATGCCAGGCCCGAGGCGCCGCCGCCGCCCGCTTTGTTTCCGAGCGGGCCGGGCCGGGCCGGGCCCTCTTCCGCACCGCGTATCCCAGCAACCTGTCCCGGAAGTCCCGCCCTGCGTTGCGTCATTGGCCAATGGGCTTCGCCGAGGGACGACGTAACTTCTGGCAGCGGCGAATGAAATGGCGAGTGGCGGCGGCGGGAGCGGGAGCAAGATGGCGGTGAGGAGGCGCGGGGTCCGGGGCCCGGCCCGGGTTTACCTCAGCGCGGCTGGGCCCGGGGCTGCGGGGCTGCCGGGCCCGTCCCCCCCCGTCCCTTCGCGTTTCCGTGCCCGCGTTAACGCCAGCATGTTAAAAAGGGGTGTGCTGGGGTTTCTGTGTGGGAGCGGGCGGGGAGGGTTCTTCATCCAGGTTGCTTTTGGTCCTCTCTTTTAGGACAAAGAGAAGAAGAAGAAGGAGAGTATTTTGGATCTCTCCAAGTACATCGATAAAACGATCCGGGTGAAGTTCCAAGGTGGGAGGGAAGGTGAGGCGGGGTGCAGCATGGAGCTTACGGGGCTTTTCCTCGTCTTCCGGGTGGTCCCGTTCCGGTCTTGTAAGGAACGACCATCCGTGGTTTTTATTTGTCGTTATTTGCTGTTACCGGGGTAAAAGCTTCTCTGCTTTACCTTTGCCATTGACCCCAGGCTGCGGTTTTATCGCAGTGTTTCGTTCCTGTACCGTTCTTTCATTGTCTTTAACTGTCATGTTGCTTTTAGCTGTTCTTTCCACACTGCACTTAAAGCAGCAAAGAAAGACTTACGGGTGCTACCGTTAACTCGCCTGTTATCCCTTTCATCTCTCAACATGCTAAATGTGCCTGGAGCTCATAGAATCCCAGCCTGGTTTGGGTTGGAAGGGAGCTTAAAGCTCCTCCAGCTCCAGCCCCTGCCACGGGCAGGGACCCCTTCCACTTGCTCCAAGCCCCTGTGTCCAACCTGCCCTTGAACACTGCCAGGGATGGGGCAGCCACAGCTTCTCTGGGCACCCTGTGCCTCAGCACCCTCACAGTAAACTTCATCCTTGTTTCAATACATTTCCCCAGGCCTTCTCATCGCTTCCAAGGCTCTTGTGGCACTATTTCTCCTCCTCCTCCCTTGCTGTGTATGTGCAGTTGTCCATGGCATGCGCTGGCGGTGCCACCTGCAGACCACTTGTTTGTCTCAAGGTTGGCAGCAGGCTGTTAAAATCATGTTAAAACTCCCCTGGCTCCTGATGCCTACAAGCTCACTTGTCCTCCTTATTGATAAGCAGACAACAGTTACTGTGTTAGCCCCCAAAGTGGGTTTGGGGGTTGTGTGGTTCTCTTTGGTGGTGGGTTTGGGGCAGTTGTCAATTCCATTGAATCCCTTGGCTTAGATTTTCTTCCCAAACGATTCACACCAGGTTCTTTCATGATGTTCATCTGACACCTGGGATTGTAAATCTCTTGTCTGAGTTGGGCTGTTAGTGGTAATGAGAAGGTATTTGTCATACTGGGGGATCATTCTGTGTAGTCTTACTCAGTGAACTCCTCTGTGCACACAAAGTGTGTTTTGAAGAGCATTTTGAAGCGTTGCTTAAAACCCCCTGTGAGTTCCGGGTGACCCCACAGACAGGGTGCCCCTGCCTTGCACTTTGCTAAAGAGCACACTTGTTTCATGGCAGTGGTCTCGTTTGCTTTATAACCTTGATTGAAGGAGGGAGCAGCACTGGAGAACTGAACCTGCTCTTCCTGCAGTTTTGTGTTGCTGTATACCTGATTTTGGTCTCTAATCTTTGTTTTATGTGTGGGCTTCAATAGCAAGTGGTGTCTTGAAAGGATTCGACCCTCTTCTGAACCTTGTGCTTGATGGTACCATTGAATACATGCGAGGTAAGTAACCTGCTGCCTGTATAAGGCTCCTTCCCCTCCCCAGAACCATTTTCATCACAGAACTCACACAGCTCTGTTCGTGCCTTTTGAAGTTGCTGGAATTTGGTTTCTTTTCCTTATGCTGCCATTTTAACTGTGGATCTCTGCTCTTCAGATCCAGATGATCAGTACAAATTAACAGAAGACACACGTCAGCTGGGACTGGTGGTCTGCAGAGGGACTTCTGTGGTTCTTATTTGCCCCCAGGATGGGATGGAAGCTATTCCAAACCCTTTCATTCAGCAGCAAGATGGCTAGTGCTTGCTCTGGATTGCCTCTGACGACTTCAGGGGTGCAAATCATCAGAGAAAACTTATCAGTGTGTTGAGAAGCTTCCTGAGTTGGGGAAGGGGTTTAAATGTGGGTTTGTTAGTGTGAAAGAATGATCAATTCTTATGTTTGTGGCTTGCCATAAATGATGCAAGGATGGGGCATGACATCTAAGAAGTACGTTCTGATTTCCCCCCTCCCAGTAAATGTGTAACTACAGTGTTGTGAGCTGCCAGGGGGTCACATATTGTCATGGAATTGTCTGAGGCCCTCTTGATCTTGTGAGTTTTGAAACAACCACATAAAATTAGTAAAGAGTCCCCTGAATATCGGTTATATCCTTTAAGTTTTTAAATACATTAAAATGTATTTAAATTAATCTACAGCCTAAATACATTAGAACATGGTTTTCTTCCTCTTAGAGAGCAGTACTCAGCTAAGAAGCAATATGGTACAGTCTTCCTGCTGTTCAGTCTCTTCTGCCTGCTTGCTCCACATGCAGGACAACTGGTTTTCTATAGTACCTTGTCATCACCTTTACAGGCTTTGTAGCTAAAAAGAGCTTTTCTAGCACTTGTTTCAGGCCTTGGGGCTGGGATCTGTGCATCAGAAAGCTCCCACGTTTCTACAGAAGGACTGGACTAACTTCTAGGATGATTCTTGGCTAAAGGACATGAACCTTGTGGAAGTACTTATCTGATCCTCAGAATTTTAGGGGAAGAATATGTAAGATCCTAATGTTCAGCCGTAGGCAGTGTCTGGAAATACTGCATATTTTTATACTGTGGCTGTCCACTTGTGGTTCTGCTTGTTGGAACTTGATTTGTAAGTAAACATTTTTATTTCTTTTATACTGAAGAAAGAATGAGATTTGAGGATTTTTTTGAGTAAATAAATACAACTGAATCTGTTCCTAAATGTCTGGGCTTTCATCTGAAAAGGTGCTCTGCGCCTGCCACTGCAGTCCTCCTCAGCTGTAAATCCAGTCACATTTGTTCAGGAGGGCCGTGAGCACAGCAGGATTAGGAGGGACCACATCAGAACCCGTGCACCCCTCTGAGGCAGGAAATCAGTGAGAGGTGGCAGCAGCTGGTCCCTTGTCTGGTGGGCATTTTAAGGAGTTCTGAGTAGAGGAGGTCATGGATTCACTGCCTGGTTTGGGCTGGAAGGGACCTTAAAGCTCCTCCAGCTCCAACCCCTGCCACAGGCAGGGACCCCTTCCACTGGAGCAGCTTGCTCCAAGCCCCTGTGTCCAACCTGGCCTTGAACACTGCCAGGGATGGGGCAGCCACAGCTTCTCTGGGCACCCTGTGCCAGTGCCTCAGCACCCCCACAGGGAAGAGCTTCTGCCCTCGGGCAGGTTCAAGCCATTCCCCTGGGCCTGTCCCTACAGGCCCTTGTCAAATGCATAAATCCAGAACAGCCTCCCTCCTTCTGCAGTGCTTCCCAGCCTGGAATAAAGGTAATTTCAGCTATAATCATGTAACCTGGGAAACTTGCTTATTCCAGGCTGAAATGATGCTGGCACTGGGTACGGCTCCACTTCAGTGGCTGGCTGGGGTTGGTTTGCTCTGTCCTACAGCACTAAGAGCTCATCCATCCTCCCGAAGGTTCTTTTGACCACATCATTTTACTCCTACACTATTTTCCAGCACTGATGCAGTGACGTTCCTGCCTCTCCCAAGTTGTTCAATGGACAGAGCACCACAGAGGTTCAAGGTCACAGCAACCCTTTATTTAGCATCGACCCTGAGGGGTTTGTGTACCACACCAGCACTGACCACTCTTCAATGATGCCGTCTTTGTGTAGACACAACAGCTCCAGCAGCTTTTGCTTCAGGTTCATTTGCCAGGTAGCAAAAATAAGACTGTTATGAAGGAACAGAGCTGTTCTCTAAATTAAATCATTTCTGAGCCCAAACCTGACCCAATCTGACTCCCATCAGCCGGAATGCACAGGACTTCTTCCTGGTCAGGCTGGATCTGGCCTGGCTCATGCCCACGTATCAAATCTTCGCACAGAAACACATCCATTAATAGGAAGGGGACAAGGGAGTTTGTTATCGATGACCTGGCACGTATCAGTGTAGGGATCAAAGAGCACCGCAATGGGGAGGGCACCGTTGCCCTTCCTCTGTCCAAGGAGATAAATTCGTCCATTCACAGTGCTGCATCCCATGAAGAACTTGCGGGTCAGGCATTCCTCATCCACCTGGGTCCATTCATCTGTCTCCACATCGAATCGAAAAGCTCCTCCTCCTATGGTGTATAAAGCACCATTTAGTGATGTGATGCAGAGATCATACCTGGGAGGGAAGAAACCCTTGATCAGAATCGACAGCCACATCTGGCCCTGAAGCATTCGGTGGGACCTTGGTCCTCAAATCACGAGTCCCATTTAATAGAGAATCCATACAAGTGTCGGTGGACTTCTGCTTTTCTCTTCTTGGAGCAGGACCAGCACTAGAACCTCTCCTCTCCTGCCAGGCCCCAGAAGGTTCTCTCTTACCTTGGAAGCGGGGAGAATGAGATGACATCCCAGCTGTCTGTCTCCGTGTTCAGCCGCTGCACCCCATCATAGACATGTCCGTTTTCATCCAGGCCACAGACCACATAGATCCTGGTCCCCATGCTGACCGCATCTCCCCTCTCCACAGGCTGAGCCATAGGACTCATGCTTTCCCACTCTGAGTCCACCAAAGCCATGCGCTCCACTGCTGGGATTATCCCTTCATCTGTGCTCCCTCCGAGCACATACAGGTAGAGCCCTGCTCCTACTGCACAGTGGCTGTTGCGGGACTTCTTCATGGCAGGGCCTTCCAGCCAGCTATTGTCCAAGCAGTTGTAGGTAAGAACCCAATCCACGCTATACCATACAAACTCATCCCGGAAATATCCTCCTGTCACAAACAGGAAGCTCCCTGGAAAGACAACAGGGGAAAGTATCTGTTACAGGAAGGCTAAAACTGGCTCCCAAGAGCTACAGCTCTCATCTCTCCCTGGGCTGTACCAATGAGGTGCAAGATGAGGAGAGAAAAGGGCTGCTCTTTCTATTGGTTTGCAGTATTGGGGTCCTTGCAGGAAGCGTCCTCCCGGGTCTGCTCCTGCTCTTCAACAGAACCATGCAAACACTGCCTGAAAGAACCTCTTGGGATCCGATACCCAGACACCCACTTGAAATGGCACCATCACCAGCACTAGATAAGGGAAGCCATGGCACTGAGCTGTCTTGGAAGTCTTCAAAGCATGAAGATTTCACAAAATCTATGGCAAGTTTAAGTTCATGGCAACTATAAATCGGAAGTCACCGTGTGTCAAAGCCACCATGAAAGAGAGGGCCAAAAATACCCCTTCAGTGAAGTCACTGGACTCACTGCAGATAAAGCTGATGGAGGTAATGTATTAGGAAGAAGCTCTTCCCTGTGAGGGTGCTCGGAGCAAGCTGCTCTAGTGGGAGGTGTCCGGGGTTGGAACTGGATGGTCTTAAGGTCCCTTCCAACCCAAACCATTCCATGATAACTCAGGCTCTATAGTTTCTGCTAAATGAAAAGCAATATTCACCCTTGTCTAACGTGCTCCCAGGACTAAGGCAAACAAAACCATTCTGTGACTGAATATACGGACAAATAGGAGTGAGGTTTTAGCAATGCTGACTAGCACAGATTTACAGGAAAAGCAACTGAATTCCCTACACTTGGGGCTCTCAGCCTCAACTTCTGCCTGCATTTGCTCAGTCCCACTTCTCTGGGAGTTACCTACTGCTGCCACCGCGTACTGGGTGAGGTTCCTGCGCTGCAGTGGAGAACAAGCCTGCCAGGTCCCCGTTTTAGGGTGAAAGAGAAATAGTTCTTGCTGGTCCTTGTCATGCTTTCCTCCCAGCACATAGAGGGTGTCGTAGCTCCGACCTGCATGAGGACGCAGCTCTGTGCTCTGCCAGCTGGGTGGAGGACACAGCTCTAACTTCTTGAGGAGGCTGGAGAAGGCGTCTGCCTCCCCGCAGCGCTTGCTGCGCTTCACCAAGAAGTCGAGGCAGGAGAGGCTCAGAAACGCCACCCTGACGTGGCCCACGAGCTCCAGGAAATCCTCCTCTCTTGCGGCCGGGTCCTCCATGACCCACCTCATCACGCTGTCAAAGACCACATCTTCCCGGGAAACAAAGAGCTCATCGCTTTGGAGGAGCTGCAGCAGCGTTGCTTTGGGGAGCGCCGTGAACTCCTCCTGGCACACCACGTCCCCCCAGTGAGTGAGAGCCACGTTCATGGCAGAGGCGTGCAGCTCTGCGAAGGCAAACTGCTGCGAGTAGCTCATGAGGCCCAGGCAGTTGGAAACGTGCAGCTCCCTCTCCAGAAACTTCTCACACAGCAGCTTCACTCTGTCAAACTGGAAGAAATCGGCCGCTTCCAGTAAGCTGGTCACGGTTTCCTGCTCTAGGAGCACCTGGGCTGTGCGAGTGAACTCGAGCAGCGCCCGGAAGGGCACGGCCTCCACCCCTCTGATCACGATGTGGTGCTCAGAGCTCTCTCGGGCTCCCCCGAAGAACATGGCTTCGAAATAACGGCTGTGGGTGGAAAGCGCCCTGCGGCTGACCTGGAACAGGCTCCCCCCGACCTCCAGAACCGCGTCTGCCACCGCTTCCGCCCGAGGCCCCGGCTCCCCCGGCTCTTGTGCGGGCTCCATGCTCCTCGAGTGCCAGGCGGTTAAAATTAACTCAGCCTTTGCTCCTGTGAGGTCTCTGGAAACATCATCCCCCCCCCCCCCCCCCCAGCCAGGGTAAATACAAGATAAGGCAATCTTGTGCTAAAAATAAAGCGTGGTTTCTGCCCTCCTGCTTTGCTCTTCAGTCTTTCCTGCTGCTTTCAGAGCAGAGCTGTATAACCAAAACCCCCCCTTTTAACTGGCACCTACCTCAGGCAGACACGAGCACAGTGAATCAGCCAAGCAAAGGGCCTGGAGGACAAGGAGGAAAAAGGAGGAACAGCCAAAACTGCCTCAAACACTCACTAAACAGCCAGAAGCAGTAGAAGAATGTTGAACCCGTATCCATTATGATACTTCTCACTTCTGCAAATCAAAACCATAGGAAACAACTATGGGAACAAACCCACTGATTTCCCCAAAGCCACATCATTCACCAGTTCAGGTTTAAGATTAAATTCCAGAATGCTGGCAGTAGTTAGCATGTATGTAACTGCATGCTTTTAGTAAGAGATGGGGGAAGGAATGTGCTCCTGTTCAAAGCTAGATGGCTGTCACATATTCGGTCATCCTCAATCTCAGTGCACTAAATCAGCAGTCATAGTACAAGCAGCAGCTCACTGATTCCACACAGTGAACTTGTGCAAAGTGTTTAGACCAAGCTACGCCACAGAGAGGTTTGCACAGTGACCTTGAACAATGCCCCTTATCCCAAAGAACCCATTCAGCAAGACTCAAGCAGGATAGTGCTACCTGAATCCAGAGCACCCTTGAGGTCCCCTCCCACACCTCTGCAAGAGGCTTCTGCAAAACCTCTTACCAGTGGGTTTATGGTCACATCTCATGAGACCCCCCTGCAGTGTGGTCGTGAGGTGTCCCTGCTCGTGGCAAGGGGTTGGAACTGGTTGGTCTTAAGGTCCTTTCCAACCAAACCCATTCTATGATTCTCTGAAAAATAGACATTCATCTCCTCTCCTCCTGTTCTTGCAAGTCCAAAGCATCTCCCCAGTGCTGCAATCTTGGACTTGCCACTGCCTTGGCAGTACCAAGGAACCTGCCCCTAGGTCTAGGGGTGCCCAAGGTGTCCCTTGTTCCAGCACCCAACACATCTTTACCTACTTGAAGCCAAATGAGGTGTTCTCTGTTAGCATGGCCCAATGTGCCTGCATGTCCCGGGTATGCAGCCTCCTCACCGTGCACACTGCATGTGTCCTGACCTTGGC